TTCTTAGTCAAATCCGATGTATTATTTTCAGAAATTTCATTGGGATTGGGCCACTTGATAACGGAAACAATTATAAAATTGAAAAGAATTGTGGCATTTGACTTTCACCAATACACTCAATTGACTATATACCTTGAATGGGCATAATGTCACTTTAATACAAAAATAGAAGTATATTTTGTTACCCTTTTCCTCATGCTTTTTTATCCTATGCCGATGGTGATTCCAAGCAAAATGACACTGTCAAGTTTTGCTACTTTTCTGACATATAATTAAATTCAATTTATTAATTTCACACTGACCGTTGCTTTCTTCAAGCGAAACGCAGGATGCTCTTAATAAAGTATTAAAATATCAAAGCAAAGTTTGTATTTTCTTCCTTTGGAATATCGTATCAATTTATGCGGCTAATCGTGCCTTAAATGTTATATCTACAACATATTAAAACATCTTGAGTGAAATGTGCTGACTAAACGTAATGCTGATTAACCACACGAAACGGCAATTTGTATGGTCATATAAAGTACACTCCAAAGTTACATCAAGTAACATCAAGTAATTTAGTCTACCACATTAATCTATGTCAAAAAATACTAGGAACGGAAAGCAACTAACAACATAGTGTACTTGTAATTAATGAGGGGAATACTAAGGACATTATCTAAGTATAGATGTAACGAATAGGTTTCTAATAAGGCACAATTGAACGTAATCCAGTATATTAAGTTTTGTATATCTATTTTTGAGATTTTCGTTTTGAACAGTAAAGATAACAAAGTTGACAGTTTTATGATTATTTTGTCAGATATCCGGGGGACAAAAATCATACCAAGTCAGTTGTACGATATTTTTTATTCTGGTCAAAATTCCCAAAGTTGTGCATTTCAGCTCAAAAAATGCATATAGACGTCAACACTCCTTTCTATTTGTGTTAAACGTTGAATATATTATATCTAAAGACTCTAAAATTTTCTTTTTAGCTTTTCTCTTTTTAGGGAGGTGGTGGTGGTAATTGTGAAGTGGAGGGACGGAGGTAAGGTTACAGGAGGGCTGCTCTTTATAAGCATTTTTCAATATCTACCATTGCTTTGATAATGATACATTTGTATGTAGTTTTGACCTTTTTCTCTGTCACTGATTGGTACAGTGATTTAAAATCCATTTTATAACCATAAAAAAACACTACGTGTGCACGAACAGGCTCGATCCATCCCAGCCTGCAACATTTTCAATTTTGCAGTTTAGGACGTCCTTAAAGGTATCCGTTTTTCTCTATTTCAGTGTTTCAGTATTGTTCTTCTCCTGTATTTTTATTTCATTCTGAATATATTTATTCTTATCAAAAGTTACGCATAAATGACTAACACTACAGATGCTATAACTGATAACACCAAACACATTTACAATGAATATGTAAATAATTAAATAATATCGCTTGATAACAGAAATCAATTATATTGTATATATTAGCTAACTATAGCACAAGTACGTTACAAGTTAATGAACAAACAAAATTTAAATGTTGAAAATTTTAATTGACAACAGGATCCATGATACGCGGATTATAAACTTTATTCAACCTATTGAACAATAGACCAATATAAACCATACGTAAAACAATTATATAACCCTATTTAGATGCAAATGTGCTATTACATATATTATACATATCATATATATTACCGGTATGTCGTTAATTGACTTCATCTCAAGTATCATTGTGATAAAGTTCGGTTTGGCGAAAATGTGCTACTCAGAACGCAAAATGTGCCACTCCGAACACATAAATAAGTAAATTAATTAGCGAATCTACGTTTTTGCAACGGGAAATACAATAGCATTTCTGTCGTAATTATAAGTATTTCAGTCATGTTGTTAATGGCACAGTAATTATAAAATATATGAATTACTTATTAAAGTTATTTCGACTTGGAGACATATCATGGACACAGACTTTGCTGCCTATTTAGCCATGTGTATCCATCAAATATGACCATATAAAAAAGCAGCTTTAATTGTTTCCAAAAACTGTTGCAACGAAATCAGGGTCATAAAAGTGGTGAGTTTTTAGTCATTACATAGTAAGTAAACAATGACTGTAACTAATGAAAACTACAAAACTCATAGATAATACAACTGATGTCTGTCCTGTGCTCTTGAATATTACGAGTATTTATACCAGTAAACTTATCTTTTTTCACTCAACACAGAATTTGTCTATACCAGTAAAATTCTGCACGGTTGTCTATCTGCTCGGGTTCTCGGGTAACACAAGCCTACATGCGTTTATACTGGGTCATATAGCTTGTCTGAAATTATTTCATTATACATGTATATCATAATGATTACAACTTATGTGGTATAATGGGGCACTTCTCTATCCAAGTAATATATATAATAAAATATTGATGTGTTTATGGTAACAAGTAATTTTTGCAATGATAACTGATTCGGATCGATAATCATGCAATACGAACATTTTTTATTCATGAAAGTTTTCCATATTTTAATTCCTTTATATTCTATATGCAATGATTTCAGATGACATGGCACAAAATGTTTGAAAATAAGAAATGATAAATAAATCCTATTTAAAACTTTTACCATTTGATTGTATTTATAGATGATAGATTAAGCTTCCGGTGCTGTTTATGAAATATCAAAAGACAATATTAATCTTTGTTGAAAAGTTCATGTTATTTTAGCAACATGCCAAAACATGAGTAAAACATCATTTGTTTCGAAAACAATGCAATATTGATAACTTTTAAAAACACAATGTTTAAATACTAGTTTTTATCTTACAGTAAGTAGTGGATAGCGTTGTTGCCTTGGCACGGTTGGATAGTTTCCTGTTTTATCAAATTTTGTGTTTGCATTTTAACAACGGAAAGAGTGATTTTCAGCCAAGAAACGTGCGATGTTGTTTGTACAAACATGTTCCTTTAACCTTTTATCACATTTCAATTTCAATTATCATTCTAGTTAGCTAGCAAAATGAGCCTATTATGTTATCAATGTGAAACAAGCTTCAAAGCTTTGTAAAATGCCAAAATGTTTTACCTATTAGAAACAGATACAAAAATATGGGGAATGAAAATGTTTGGTTTGAAATAGTTAACAAACAATTAATTGTATCCATGAATCTACATTTCTAAATATAACACGATATTCTTTATAGACAAGCTATCGGTGCATATGAGCATGCTTCAAATAAATAAAGTTGTCTGAATCAATAAAGTGAATACCGATTAAACAAAACTTTTAATAAGCGTATTTAAATCATATATTGCGCATATACATGTATAAAATCTTAAACTCTATTTCAATCTATTTTTATCATATTCTCATGAAAATTAAGAAAATAATTCGGTTGTCAATGGCCATCAGAGCAGTATGATTTAAGTAACAATTTAATAAACAATACCTATTAAGCTATGCTGGTGTGTATATGGTAAAATATATCTGGAAAATGGGTGATCCCTCGGAAGCAATAAAAACAACAAAATTACAAGAAAATTGCATACTCGGTTTGACTGAGTCTGGACATGGAGGATAATGAAAGAGTGCAACATCTCTAACTACCCCCTAGCACCTGCTTGAACGATACTCAATTTTAAACTCTCAATGTGCTGTTATCAATTATTTTGAAGAACAAGAATAATATAACAACACTGACGCCGATTATTTGCCGGTACATTTCGTAAAAACTATTTCAAAGTACTTTAACTGAAAGGGGTTGCTCGTAGATTTTTTCGCTGAAAGTTTTGATAGAGGTGACTTTATTCCTCTTTCTTCATGTGGGCTCATTTTATATGATTTCCAACTCGTATATTTATATGAAAGAACAATTTATGAATAAAATAAGGCATGAATATAAATCCACGATCTAAACTGGATAATTAAAGCATTGCTTAAGCAAAAGAAACAATAAAACACTAACAGTATAGCTATTCAAATTTTGTTCATTTTCCTAATGCAATAAGATCAGAGTGTCAGAAGGCAAAGAGGAAAATGGTTATACTATTAAGAAAAAAAACATTGTTATTTGTTTAACAGAAAAAAGCTATTTTATAAACATCAGAACAGTGTCTCTTGATCACCTTTTTAGAAAAGTAGAAGTGAATACCTTACATGACTGACAATATCCATAAGCAACTTCAATCAATATTCGCAAACATTCTTAAGAATAACATAAAAATCTATATATCTGAGCGAGCATATATCAAATGTATTTATTACATATTTATTTCAGAACAAACAGTATCAAACTTATTGTACGTAAAACGACAAATGCATATATTTCTGATTGTCTATGTAATTTTGTTGAACCTTAAAACTCTTATTTTTATATTCCAAAAGCGTTTTTATATTTGATAACCTGTTACAGTTTCCAAAAGGTTATTCATGGGCCACATAGCCGTGACATATTTTGCTTCCTTTGCAAAACACGAAGTTTTTATTGAAGTCAAAATACCACTGTGTTAACATCTTGCTGTTATTAATTTTTGATAACATTTGATAACATTTTATGTTATTTGTTACAGGTGACAAGCATTTAAAATGTTCTAAATCAATAATTACAACAATTTTAAAGCACATGTTTCCATTTTCTACAGATATAAAAATATATTACGGAGGCGCTATGTTCAAACATTTTGAATTACGAGTATAACCAAATTTCAGAACATATTTTAATGTGTTTCTAATTAACATAAACCGACCGAATGTGCACTACAGTTAATATAGTAAAAGATTTTAAAACAAAATTTGTAAAAAAGAGCTCTCGCGTGTAAATGGTAAAAGGAAATGGTATTTTTTCAATTGTAACATATGACGTGGGCATAATTCTAAAACAAGAAAATAACTTTACTATAACCATGAATCACTCATCATGGCATTATGTTATAAATATTTCAGATGCTCATTTTAATACGACTCTGACAATGCCTGTATTTTATTTATTCATATTAGCCCTATAACAAACAACTATTGCATAATAAAGTGTTAGATTTATTCAAAGCGCATTTAGATATACATTGCATGTCAGTAATGTGCATCAAACTGTTTAGTTGCATTGGCTGTTCACAGAATAGAAACACTTAAGTATATCTGTAAACTTATCAATACAATACAATACAATATTTTATCATCATACATTGTATATGCATTCAACGTCTTCATTAATTTATACGAAAGCATGACGTGTCAAATCAACATTGGCAAATAACAAATACATCTCAAGATATCAAATTTAGTTACATACAGAGTGATAAAATAAACATGAATAAGAAAGAGAATGTTTCAATGAATGGCACTTTTCGTCGTTTCTTAAGACAATAATTTTTTTTTATATATATTTGCATTCAAATAAATATATATATTTTCTAGATAAAGAGTATGTACAGTACTACAAACATTCGGCTTATTCTTATCACAGAGTTACTTTGTTGTCAATTCAGAATCTTTTTATCACAGATTTCAATATTCCATTGTTTAGAACATCCGGTATTCAAATGATAAAATATGCACTTTTTACATTTCATTTTTACTTTTCAAATGAGCTTCAAAAGAAGCAGCGTGTGAAAGATATCCCTCTTTTAGTTTTCCCATTAGATAAACAAACAAATGACTCCATGATTCGGATACCTCCTTCGTAAATTGATTGCCCATGCACAGTTCCCATTGGCGCATAAGTGCTTCGTGAAATATTTCAAAATATTCGGGCCGGAATCCGGCATATCTTTGATGCTGTTGTCCAAGGCTAAACAAAAACTTAAAGAACTCGTTGTCTTCTTTATCAAATTCGTCAACACTGTCCACAGCTGCTCCGATAGCACTAATAAAACGTTTTCCGTGCGCTTTTATGTTCACATTTCGAGCAAGTTGTGAATGCCGTACGTTGTCCACATGGAAGAGAGCTTTTACCTCGGGACAAAGTTCGAATATTCTCAGGAAAAGTTGTAGTCCATTTCCTTGCAAGTCGTTAACCAATGCTGGCCATGTCTGCCGTACTATTTGTCTCTCTTTTGAAGACAGTTGAATTGGACCTTTAATACTAAACACTAACAGTGCTTTCTTTCTATAGCTTAGTGCATTAAAATGTTTGTATGAATGTTTTGTGTACGACACTGAGTGTGAACATCCCATTGTACACTAGTATTAACTGATATATCAGTTATATATAATATTCTTTATTTGAACACAGTTTCAACGATCTAAAATATAACGTTTTGAAAGGAAACTACAAACTTTTGTAGTAATGCATATAAAATGGTATTTTTGCATGTACTGGTTTATTTTATTTTTCTAAAATCATGATACACTTTTTAGTTATTTGTTTTTATTTGTTTGGTATCTTTTCGTTTTTTAATACACAAATTGATCATTTGATCCGAATAATATCCCATTCTTTTTCGCGCATGTAGTTAATTCCAGTCACTTATCCATCTTATTGTAAGATGGCATTTAATTGAATTTGTATGTTACATCAAATTAAAACATATTGGTTATATTTAGAAGTTCCTTGATTTCAACTGAAACTTCCGATTATGTCTCTTTGAAAGTTTATTTGTTTATTTAATTTCTTGTTGCGTTTGTTTCAAGTCCTTTTGGTTACACAAGTTTATATTTCTTCAACAAATTTGTTTATTTAGAATTGTATCCAGATTTCCTGCATGTTTCACCAATAAGTAATAAATATTTACGATTCATATTGTAACTCTGCTCACTGCAGTCAGTCAATGAATTACGATACGCTCAATTGTCCAGAATTTACCTGAACCACAATATTGGAAATTCACTTTAAAAGAGCAGGTATTCATTATTATACTGGTTAAATACGATTTTTTTTCGCGTGCATACATCTGAAATGAACTCGTCTATTAAATGAAATGCACACATCCGGTGCTAAGACATTATCAAAGAAAAATAGTATGTAGTTTAAAAAATGTTGACTGTATTTTGAAATAATGTTTACTTTCGTTAAATTAACACTGCGCGAGTTTTTTCTTTTGCTGTTAGCTTTTCAATAATTTTAATTGAATTTAAGTTATTTAACACGAACTCAAAGATATTTTGATAACTAAATATCCTCTGTTAATCCTATTCTGAATTAGTTGTAATTCTTTTAATATGGATATCACACTCTTCCCGGTGTTGTTTTAGCAAACTATCACAAAGGATCACACTTTTTTTAAAGGTTTAATAATCCCAATTGATACAACATTGAAGGATCTTCACACTACATTTTGTATAATATTGATAAATTTCAACACGAAATTTAATTACTATTAAAATTATGTCTACAATAAGGTCTTTGTTAAACAACTCAATGTATCCTTTGTTTCAAGTCGACACAAATATTGACTGATATCTTAATATAGAGAGAATATAAAAGGGTAATAATCCATATCTAGAGTTTATTAAGATATTTAACTTGTTATTTCCAACAATCTTAGTATGACATTAAAAAGAATAAACTACGCCGTGATAAAATAAATTCGGTATAATTAATTAAGTGTTAGCATTATTTTCAGCATGAAGGAATGTTGCGAAATTGCTTTTTAAGCTGAAATATATTCTACCATATATCAAAATGTCTCAACCATTACTTACATGACTTAAATAGCACGTACAATATTATATGACAAAAAATATAATTTACAATTCAAATATGCGAGCATTGCTAGTATGTATGTTTCCTGTTACCACAAATAGGACATTTTCAGCGATATGTACGTTTTAAGTGAAGACGTTTAAGGATATTATCTACAAAAACGTCCGCTTGCCAGCATAATAGGGAAAGCACCAGATTGGTTATCCAGGGGTTAATGGTTCGTTCCTCGGATAGAGCGCAATTTCTCCTTGCCAAATGAGCACGAACTTTGAGTGTAATGGTTATTTGTTTATCACCACTGATTTTGAAATCTTAGCGGATAAGTAGTCGGCCACTTTTAGAGAAATGGTAACTTCTGTCTGAGTCAGCTTTTAGAGAAGCAGGTACGGTGAATCAACTGTCAAGATATGATCATAATATGTGATAGAATGATAAACAGAAACATGTACAAAAACGAATTTTAGATGTAATTTACTGTGTAATCATTAACATTCCCTAGAACAAAGACATTCGTTGTTTTATTGTAGTGTATCAATGTAAACATGCGCTTTTCTAACGTTGTTACAAAAGTTTTACATAACAATTTGTCTTTTGTTAAATTTAATTAAAGCTTAACAGATTAATTTCTATCTCAAGTGGCAGTATATAGCATTTATCATTACGTTTGGTATTAATGTAAATCCCTGTATCCAGTTTATTGTATGTGCATATAATTATACTTAATTAAATATACATGAAAATGGATTAATTAATTACGTATAGTTTTAAATTTTAACCAAAAGTGTATTTGTTTTATAATACATCTAGTAAATGACATATTTAAACATTTTACAAACAAAATTAGCAGATTTTAACAACCTTTTCAATATACGTTTTATAAACTGCAATAATAAGAAAATTATATTTGGGTTTTTTTCTCTTTTTTTCCTGTTTTTTTTTTCAAACCTTAAATAGAAATAATTCATTGCGCAATCAAGTAAAAATAGGTTTTGCAATTGTAAAAAGTGTTTTTGTTGGTCAAGATGTATCTGAAAACATGACATGATGAATTGATTGTTTTATATGAATGAAAGTCTCGCTATTAGTAAATGTTTTACATTATCCGATTGTCTATAAATCGTATGGTATTATTGCCTTGATTGAAACATCATGACTGCATTCAGTGCCTTCATTTTGATACACATCTTTGTTTTGTTTTTTTTAATTTGACTTATATAGCAACGAAATGATCAAAATCGTAATTGTATCAAAATTTACAAAAACAAGTTGTTGCGGAAATGGTCCTGAACACATGCTGATTTGGGTAAAGATGATCCAGTTGCAGTTATTGTACAACCCATTTATAACCCAAAGGTCATTTAATATGATCAGAGTTAATAACCTCAAATCATATTACTAAATTACTAAATCAGTCAATCATTTAGGCAATTATTGAACATGATTCTAGATACGTAAAACATTTAATGGGTTTGATATGAGCTGAAAGATGAGACAGTATAAAAATCTAATTACATTAGCAATTTTCTAGAAGATGTCAGTTATGATTTATTGGGGAGAAATATTTTCTGTAAATCAAAACAAAACAGCTGATTTAAACGGAGACAAATTATATGATATCATTTATTAACTTTTACGGAAAACAAATTTTGCTAATAAATAAGAACGGACAAACTGACAAAGCAATTATTTACTTTCAACAGTTTTTCATTGTGATATTTATTTCCCGTGCAAAAAAAATATACTGTACGGTTTAATTATTCCTAAAATGAGTGACGGACATTTTATGCCATTCCATAATCATCTTTCTTCTCTTTTATTGTTATATTTTAAACAATTCCAAAACGCAGGTACATAATCTTCAGAATCATTTAATAGTAAAGGCATTAGGAAGCACACTTTTGGACTTATTTTCCAGATTCCATTTAATATAAAAAGTAGTCAAGGGCACTCTGGCCAGGTAGATAATGAGGATAATGAGGATAATTTCATTACTAACAAAATTGAGAGGAGGCGTATGTTAATAAAGTATCATAGGAAAATCGCATCTTGACTTTATGGCCAGATTATTGAGTATAACAACAAATTGCAAAGAGGAATTCTGGAGAATTAAGTGCAGCCTCGTTTCGAACATAGGTTTGACAGCTATGTTCTCGTGTAATACGACTCATAATTGTACGGAACAATGTATAATACCACCATATGTATATAGGTCAGTAGGTAAATGTGTCATATTCCCCTTAAAGAAGCAGCAAAATATTACTTATTTTGCCTTATTGAATTTATTCAATACAACTCAATTACTAGGTCAATGAGATATCCGAGAAGAAATGAGATTTTTATGGCTTTAATGATCCGATCATATGTATTCACGATTTCATGTTGTAAATTCACTGTATCCATTTTATTCTACTTAGGTAGGGGTTAATTGCAACATTGCAAACGTGCATTGTGTCAACCAAGCATGGACGAAACCGTTGAAAATAATGATAATATCAAATAATGACAAATGTGTATTTACTTTTCAGAAAGTCAAATACAAAATGTAATTCAAAACTAACGCATAATTTATAAGAGAGTAATTAATTAAATCCGAAATATACCCCATATGACGGACTCGATAACCTTGCTACTTTTTATTTGGAAATAATTTAAAACAAGTACTGCTGAGTAGTAAAAAAAGAATTATAAAACACGTATCACATTACATGACAACTTTTTGTTCAAAAGAACTTTCATTTTATACTCATTTGCCATCATTCTGCCATAGAAGTGATAAATAAATGATGAATTCCATTATGGAATTTATAATTTCTATGACACGATGATGGCATATGCGTATAATGGCATTATAAACTAATTGCGCATCATTCAAATGCCGTCCTTAATATTGCTTGGATGAAACAATGTAATGTTCTCTGATTATTTATGACTTGACATTTGTTGAAGGAGTTGATTAATATTATATTGACAGTTCCGTTAGGGCCAGCATGTTTTCTCTGAGAACGAAAAGCGCGAATCATAACGGAATGATGGTGACAGCACGACAGTACGATGGTGATAGTATGATAGACATCGGTAGTTCTACTCAAGTGCCCGTGAAATTATGTATACACATGCACCTGAGGTCTTCCTCAAGCAGTAAAGCTGGAAAATCGCCATATGGCCTATAGTGTTTGTGGGACGTTTAACCCAATAAAAATATACATTAATTATGCAGTCATTTCTTAATATTAATCCTGCTGATAGAAAATGTATACACCCATGCAACCATTGCAAACCATGTTCATTCTTCACACCCGGACAGACATGATCATGATCTGCAATGTTTACTATTCAGGCAATATTTTTTTTTACTTGGGGACCATATACCGCTTATCATGGAATGGCACTTACGTGTCACATTGAAGGTTCCATGATAACCGCCATATGAATGTTTCAAAATTCCAAATTATACCATTTCATGTTAAAATTTTGAATTCTTCTTAAGCCGGTGCTATGGGGGTGGGCGTTTGTTTGCACTTTACAGTATCGTCCATAAACAGGCTCAATCAAACCGAGTTTGCAACATTTTCAATTGTGTCGTTTTGGGCTTTCTTTAGGAATTCTTATATTTTCTCCATTTTATTTTAAAACTTTCCCTAAAATTATTGACGGTTTTGTTCTAATTTGAAACATCATCTAAACACATTGGTTACTGATAAGTCACTATGTAGGAATATAAGCAAATAACAAATTAAATATCACACTAAATATAGTATTGAGATTGTCACTTACAAAAGTGATATTATAACATCTAGATAATTAGATATGCTCATAAACACATGTAAAGTCTGATAACAATGACCATAAGCGAATGACAACATGTAACAATTTTATTTTTGGAGGTAAGTAATAGTTATAGTTCAGATTTTAAAAAATATGGAATTTATTGCAAGCGTAGCGTAGCGGAGCGCAGCAATAAGTTCTATATTTTTTAAAATATGAACTATAACTGGCTTACCGTTTGACCCACTTTCGTGGAATAAGTCACGTACGAAGTGTCGGTACAGCGTTTGATGTAATACGAGTCCCGCCCTAACTAGTATAGATTGACAGGCCAACACATGGTCGTAGGGTTTTGACCTTGCATTTTTATGTATTTTTATATCATTAGTCATCATGTAAGGCTGTGTTTGACATGAATATAGCAAGAATCATGATTTTGAACCATTTCATGTCGAATGTGCTGATGTGGTCACGCGGTTGCTTGATATTGATACGCAGGTTTTATATGCAGACACAAGCAAAAAGAGGCAAAAGCTCAGGTAAATATTTTATAAAAAAATATTCTCGAATTGTCGCAATATCTAACTGCATCATTATCTGAATGAAAATACAAATTGTAACATGACCAAGCGCGCAGCTTTTGTACGCCCAACCAGCACCGAACCTCAAAGTATTGAGGTTAATTATTCAAACATAACATGAATAATCTGCCTAAAATGCTGTTGCAATTATTAAAAAAACTTTGAAAATCATATTTAAGGGGTTTCTTTGATATTTGCATTTTGCAGGCCGATTTGAAAAGCTTTTGACATCTGATGACATTAAGAAAGACCAGAAATACAGTGCCCTATAATACAACGAAAAACAACAACTGGGCAGTGCGCGTCTGGAGGGAGTTGGCTGAAAACCGCAACCTACAACCGGAGACTAAGCAAGAGCGTGGTTGTCCTATTCCCGTTCAAATAGAGCAGTTCCGTTCATGTGCAGAAATGGATTTTTGGTTACAACGATTCATCAGTGAAATTGAAAGGAAAAATGGTGTATGTTATCCTCCAACAACTTTACTAA